CCCTACATATCTAGATCACTGTTGAAAATTCCCCCTAGACTGATACGGTGAATCTGAGCGCGGCTTTGCTTTCTTTCAGCACAATTAAAACAATGTTATTCTGACAAAGGCTGTTTTTTGGCTAGCATATGGGCCAACCCATGAAAATTCGCTACCCTACGGAGCTTGCAGGCACCCCGTGCATGTCCAAAGCTCTTTGGCAGACAGCTGCAGGGCTGGGGAGGCTGAGGAGCAGATGCTCTGGGCAGCATTAACTCCCTCACGTGGTTACAGGCGCATGAGGAAACCAGCACGTAACGGTGGTTGGTGACTCGCTAAATCCTGAATGCCCCAAAGCTCTCTCCAAGGCTGCTACAGAATGGGATTCGTCACTGAAAGGGAAAAAATGCGATCTTTACTTTGTAAATGCTTATCACCCTGATATAATCGTGCATCAAATTGCTAACTCCAACTGGCACTTAATGAAGATTTGAAGAGATCTCAAGTGAAATCTTGGTATGCCTGAACTAGGTGGTAAAAATTCCAATTCCAGAGATATCCAAATTTCACCTCCTGATCTCATGTGAGGTTAACACTTAAATCTTGACTGTGATCCCACAGGAGTAAACCCACTGGCCTTCAGGAGGCTGCTCCTGTTCTCTGCTGGTACGGAGGACAGTGACCCCAATGGAGAGTGAGGAGTTAATGACAGACACACCACCATGGATGAATCAGAATGGGAATTGGGTATTAAACAGAACCACAAAATAATCTAGGCTAGAAGGGACTTGTGGAGGTCACATAGCCCAGCCTCTTGATCACAGAAGAGCCAACATCAGAATCAGATTGTGGTGCTGATGGCCCTGTCTCTGAAAACCTCCAAGAGTGGTGACTGTACAATCTCGGAGCAACTCATCCCACTGCTTCGCTTCTCTCAGGGTGAGCAATTTTTCCTTATAACCAATCTGAGTTTCCATATCGAACAAAGAAAAAAGATGAGGAGGAAAAGGGAGAGGAGGATTAACACAAAATGACAAGACAATACCAAAGGGAAGGCTCAATCTTCGTATTCTGCACACACACAATACAAGCAGTTGGAAAGGAAAAGATACAGAGGGTGTGTGCAGTGAGTGACAAATGGGTAAGCTCCAGGTTAAATACAAAATAAGCAGCAGTCCCTGGTGGCAGTGAATCAAGCAGTACTCGTTTTACTGTCAGAGTAAAAACATATTCCTTTAAGAAAACCAAACAAAAAACCCTACTGCGTGTTACAATGCATGCCAAGCAATTATTGCTTTCCACAGTGTGTCCTGTGACTCACTGTGCCACAATGAACTGGCATATGGTGCTCATTCAGGATATATAACTCACACATTTGCAACAGCTCTACAGAGCTAAGAGCTACTTGGACTATAGTTAATTCAGGGGCTTTTTAATTTCCCCATGGCAATGCAATAAATGTCATGCTTCTTATTGTATTATTATTTAAAAAAAATGTTTTTAGTGGCAGGCAAGTGTCATTAACGCCTGAAATCTCTCACATGCCAGGGAAATCAATTCAGACAAGCTCTGGCATGCGAAAGCACATAAATAATTGGTAAACACTACCTGTGGTCTTCTGGGTCCAGATTTCCCTGATGCCAAGAGCAATCAACTCCTTTTTGGCTGCAAAGGATAGGAGGGCACTCAATACCTTGCAGAAGGCACTCAGCACCTGGCAAAAATCAAGCTTTCTGTGTGCCAACACCCCATGAAAAAGCAAACCCTGTAGTGCATATGACAAAAATGGTTTTCTTCTCTTATGAGGGAAGGCAACCTCCTAGAGGGACACAGAGCCAGCTCTCCACAAGGTGCTGAATGCTCTCCCTGCTTGGGAAAGGTGCCTTTCCTACACTAACCCCTCTTAAAAAACACCTTAACGAAGGGGAAAAAAATAACAATGCATCTGTCTTTCAGTGAGTCTGCCCAAGGAAATCCAGGTTTTGTCATTAAAAAGATATCAGGAATGCTTAAAAGTAGGGTTTGAGCAGCGACAGAAAATGCTGTGTGCAGTTACAAGGAAATTCTTCTCCTATAATCAAGGTACTCAAATGAGCCCGGGCTACACCGTGACTTGTGAGTCCCACCAAGAGAATACGGCTATGGAGTGGTAACGGAGTTTTCCATCACACCGAGATGGTTTAATGGGAGGGAAAATCCTATATAGACACGGCTTATCTAACACTCCTATACACTTGAAATAAGTCCACTGATCCAGTGCTATTTATGAGCAAAAGTGGATCAGGAAGATGGAAGAGGACCACTGGGATTTTGCCTGCGCAGGGACTCAAGAGCTACAGCAGAAGTGCCATGGGTTTCAAGGTCAGCAGGACCGATTCCCAAAAAGGGCGGCCGTTTAAAGCAATAGCAATGCAATTGGAATCTACAGAGCTATGCTGGAGTAAATCAGCTGAGAATTAGATCCTGAATTTGTATCTTCACAGCTACTTTCACAGGTATTAAACAACACTAACGCCTCAAAATGTGACTTGGAAGGAAAACCAGAAATAAACATCTCAGCCTCCAGCTGTATTGCTCCCCAATCCCCGAGGAAGCAGTTATTCCCTTGGTGATGTGCTGTACAGGCAAAATACGATTGCCAATACAAACATATTGCTCATGGGTTTTTGCTTTATAAAATGTAAATTTAGGCTGTGTGGTCACAGGTGTTTTCTTCAGTGCTTAATACAATAGGTTGCAAACAGTGACCGGGGAGTAAAGCCATGACCTGAGCAATGCTGAATAACGACCTGCCCTGCCCATTTCCTCACCTTCAAACTCCTGAACTGTTTAACTGTGTGGAAGGAGTTGAAATTGTGCCTGAATTACGCCTGCCAGGGTCTGACCGGTGCTCTTTTACTGTTTTTTCTCTAGAGTCTTTGCTGCTGCTCACAAACTACTCTCCATCTCCTCAGAAATATCTTTTATTTATTAACTTTTGTTGCATCTCACTTAGGTACCTCCCTCAAGGAGCGTAGTTGAGAAAGTGCAGAGGCACATAAAAATCAAGTGTAGCTGAGACCTTTTTCCAACCAGGAATGGTATTCACCTATGCAGAAACTTCAGTCTTCTTTTCACCCCAGGAGTTAACACCAGTGTTTAGTAGCCACGTTCTCCTCAACGCAAAGACAAGAGAGGGGAATGCTGCCTCTGCCCAGATCCCACAGGCTTGTTCTCTTGGTGGTTAATTCATGACAGTGTTCGCTAGGTTTTTCATTATAGGGCATTATTTGTAGCTGCTGTTTTCATGAAGCAGCTGTAATAAACAAGCGTGATTTATGTTCCTTTTTAAGTTGCTTGAAATAATTAGGGTTGTTAAATTTAGACTCTGAAAGAACCTACTGATTTCTCTATTTTTTGTAATAAATATGGAAGCTACAAAGCAAGCTATTACCATCAGTCAGGCTTGGGCCAGAACAGTATGCATGCCCTACACTATCCAAAATGTGGTTTAGATGGGGAAATAACCTAAGTTCTCCCAACAATCTTTGAAAAGCAAATGATGGCTGCGCTGAGTTGCTTTAACAACTGCACTGCGTGTTCTTCTTCTCCAGCCTAGACTCAGAAATTATTTCTTTTTAGTACTGTTCTGGTCTTTACAGGTGCAAATAGGCACCCCCGATCTGGATTGCACTGGTGAGCTCTGTGGAAAGCAGGACCAAATCTGAGACCCAGACCCCGATCAGGTTTTTGCAGCTGGCTTCTTTGCTGATGATTTATTCTGCATCCAACTATTACAAAAGCCTTGACCCATGTCAGGAATTCAAACACCAAACTCGGAGCTTGTGGTTTGCTCTCCTCTCTGCATCATTGACTTTTTCCACTCATTCCCCCTCAACCACAGCTTGCTGCATTGACAGTCCAGACACTTAAACAAAATAAGTAAACACAAGGCCCTCCCCAGCCCAGTTTGCCCATTTCACAGCTACTTCTGCATTTCAGAGCCAGATCCGACAAACCTGCTTCATGACAGCACCAACATGAACCAACATCCTCTAAAAAGCTTTTCGCTCATAGGTGGTTTTATTTTTTGTTTGACCGGTTTTGTGACTCATCAGCCTTACAGTATTTCTCACAGTGTGGGTACCACCATCCCGGCAGTCCAGGTTTCCTCAGTGCAGTGGGAAAGAAGATAAAATAACCGGGGGCCATGACAAAAATTAGCCTTAATGGCTCTAAAAGAGGGGACTGACGTTGAGCAGACGTTCAGCTTACTACAACCCCAGAAGCGGAGAGAAACAGATGATCTGCTGTGGGCAAGACCACATCGTGCCATGCATAGAAGGGATACAGCAAAAATATACTGACTGCATAATGAGAAAAGGCAAAACGAGGACAAGGAGAAGGCTGAACCTGTCAGCTTTTATGTTATGAACTTCTTTAACTAGAGGAAGGAAACATTAGGGAAGGTATGCAAGGAAGTATGATGGAGCTGGGAAAGGAGTCTGGAGTACTGTGCAGAGGAGAGCTGTAATAGGTATCAAAATACAAATGGTAAGTACTTCTTTGCTGTATGTATGATAAAATAGTAACAACTTCTACGTAAATGATAAAATCCCAGTGTGTTAAAATAAATACATAAAGATAACTGTCTTAAATCATTACTGGGTAAAATAAGTAAGTGGCATGCTATGGGATGGAGATTTAGTGCTAGGAAGTATAAAGCCCTGCATCTCAGGAGAGCAAGGGCATTGCCTGAAGGGCAGGTAGCTGCAAAGCTCTGAATTCAAGAAAGACCTAAAGGTGACTGCAGGTAAAATTAGCCAAGTAATAGAGTTTCTCTGTGTGATGCTACTGAGTGATGCAGGAGAAGGGTCAAAAGCTAAGCTATTTCTGGATGCATACATATGAAGGGATGATACAGAAACCTAAAGCATAATGCTACATCAAAACAACAACAGTGGATATAGTATGAGCTGTTCCAACAGTCCACAGACTAGAGAGGAGACAGAAAAAATAAAGGAAATACAAATAAGGACAATAAAAAAATGATCTAAGGAGAGCGTAAGAGAGCTAAATTAATACAGTCTATAAATGAGAAGACTCCTGGGCTGAGATCCAGCTATAAATACCTTCAAGGTACTGTGTGTAGAGGAAGGTAATTAATCTAGCTCAAGAGCTAGTAGGGCAAGAAGCAGTTGCTTGAATTTAGGAATGGAAAAAATCAGGATGTACACTAAGAAAAAGTTATTTGAAGAGACACATCTGCTCAACAGGGCAGACTCCCAAGGTGGTAGCCAAGGCACACTTACTGTGTGCAGCTGGGAACAGGGGGGATTAGGGGCTCTGGGAAATGCTGCTTCTACAGCCCAAAGAGATCACCACAGACCAACTCACTGATCTCATAGTCTCTTTCTTTATGGGTTATCAGAAAGACTGCTTCCCTATTTGAAAAAAAAAACAACCAACAAACACAAAACCAAACCCAAAACAAATAAACCCCAAACACCCAAACCTATATACCTAGGTATCAATGTAGTGACAATACAGCCACACCAGAGCTCAGAAATGGGGGTGTGCAGCACTCTGATGTACAAGGCAGGTAATGGCAAACCCCTCTACCTCTATTCTGGCCACTCTGAGGTGTGTGCAACGTGAGTCTGCTGGGTACCAGGCAGGACCATATCAGCAGGACCAAAACTGCTGAGCCAGCTGGCAAAGCATCTCAGTGCCAGTGTCAAAGGTTGAAGTGGGAACGACCTCTCCTGATACTCTTGGTCTTCCCCAGCCTTGTGTTAAGAGATCCTGCACGGAAGCTTTCAGTGTCACTGCAAAAATCACATACTTTGACTTATGATTAGCTAAAAACCAACACTATCAGTATTTAATGATCCTCGGGAGCTCCAAAACACACTTGCATTAAGAAAACAAAATTGAAAAAACCCAAAACATATGCAACAGGCCTTAAAATTTTCAATGACAAATGGGTATACACAAATGTGAGGAATATTAAACCCAAGTATCGTTAAACCCCACCCTTAAACATATCCCATCCCAACTGCACTCACCAATCGGGACTTCTGTCCCCTCCTCAATGTAGATGGGCAGTGGTGATTCCTCCATAGGATGAGGCACTGATGGAAAGTAATGAATTGTGGTAGTATTTGTCGCAAAGTGACTACAATAAGACGGTCCCTTTCTTATCATTACAACTACATACGGCTGGTTACTGTCACATAGAGTCCTTTCTCAAAGTGGTCACCTCCTGGCATGGTGACTGGTGCAAGTCACAGCCCTGAGGGGTTAATCCCCACCGAGCATTTACCGCCACAGGAGCCAACCCCCTCTGGCCGGGGCCCTGTCCTGGATGCTTCCTGATCCTGCCATTTCTCTGTAGCCTCGCTATTCCCATCCCTGGAGCTTAACCCTCTTTTGGAAACTCACACAGTTGAAAAAGCCAAGGGGAGCCAATGCACAGACAGGCACAAATAGAGTTATGGAGTCAGAGTCGTCATATTTCATGCACAGAACCAGAAGAGAGAGGCTCTGATGCTCAAAGCTTGCCGTTAGCTGTTGAAAAGCCACAGCAGGTGATGGAAGGCTGCGCCGCAAATGGCCTCTGGACCACAAACTTTTCATCACTCATTCATGTTGGAGTATATGTACTGGACTTAGGAAGCTCCCAATTACTTGTTTGTGATACTGAAATCTCCAGCCAAAAGTCTTCAGATCTGCGCTGCACGCTTATTCTGCATTTTCCAGTCACCATACGGTCACTGCTGCAGGGTTCATCTCTTTGGGTTCTCCTCTATTTGGGAGCTTCTCCCCCTAAAAGTTGGGTTTGTTGCACTATTTCCAATTTTAAATCTCTGGGAAGCATATGCTTCACAGGCTTTGAAAGAGGCTTGAATTTCCTACGCTAGAATGAAATAATAATGAGCTACAAATGTTGAAAATGGTCATAATCAAAAGCCTTCTGGAATTTTTTCCTTCTCCGTTATCTTTTGAAAATGATGATGTACCTTCCCAAAGATACAAACTCTGAAGCCAGGACTGCAGCTGCAGGGAAGGACAATCCTATAATCCTTTGTGGGGTATCCTTCCTTATGTTTTTGGGTTGGTTATTTTTGGGAGGGGGGGGGGAAGATAAGTCTGATATCCATAAAACCAGCCAAAGTACACTCGTGGTTTAAAGCTATTAAATAAAGCGTCTTAGGACGTTTCTGCTAGCAACACAACCAGAATAAAGAGCGTTTTCAACAGACGCTTGCCTAGCAATGGGCTTAATATAAACCCCACAGCGGTGCTGTGTGGGATGCAAAGGGCTGCTGGCTCCTGCCTTTCCCTAAGCCCACCCCTCGCTCGCGAGGAAGACGAAGGGAAGCACAGGGGAGAGGAAGAGCAGAACACGGCTGGCTACACGACTACGGTACAAGCACAGAAACCATGGTCTACCGGAGCGCCTTGCGCAAGCCGCTTTATCTAGAAGCTGAACTAACATTCCAGCTCAACAATAGCAAAAAAAAAAAAACCCAACATGATTTGTTACCACACGGCGTTTCGCTACATATTAACCAGCGGTTGCTACGCAAGCGAAATGGGAGTGCTGCAATTCGGAGATATATGTTATTTAACAACAACAAAAACCAACCAACAAAAACAGGTTGACTGATGGGAAATCAGCCCGAGGTGAGCGCTCGTGGGCTTGCCATGCCACTGGACGCAGTTCATGCTGGGGAGTTATGCAAAGCGGGCCCTGCATTGGGAACAATGCAGTCGTTTTCCTTGCTAAGCTAAATTTGCATTAAGGCAATGACAGTCTTCATCTATGCAGCCCCCGAAAATATTTAATCAGGTTTATTTACTAGGAAGAAAATACCAGAGCAGAGCTTCCTGTACTCAAAGAGCTTTCAAATCTGAGATCTGCAAGCAAACCAGATCACTAGACGGTGTGGAAAAGAACCATATTTGTATTTGAAAATACAAGAAATTGTATTCTTATGACATGCAGCGGTCTTGGTCCCATGAAGAATACTGTACTGGGCTCCCCCAGACCCAGTCTGGAGCCAAATGCTTCCACAAAACATTTGCAGCAGTATTCACCGATGGCTGGTGGCATCTACTCTTATTTTAATGGTATCACCAGGGGTTGTAGAAAAGGCCTGAAATACCTATCGGCTATTTGAGGCCAAATCTGCGCACACACGCTCTCTTACCCACACGTACACATGCACACACCGCTACACGTGCGCGCAAACAAACGGCTCTAGAGGCAGGACTTGGATTTTGGAGGATCCAAGGCAGAGAAGCTGACTCTTGTCACAGGGTTTGGGAATCGAGGACTCTGGGGTGCTAAAAGAAGCTTTCACTTACTGGTCTCCTCTGCTTTGGGCAAACCACTTTAACATTATCCCTCCAGGATTTACACACCGACTTTACGGGCATGCTGCTTAAATGTCTGCAAAGTGCTTTGCAATGGTTTCTAAATTCTGCAGTGATATGCACAGAAGAACTGCACAGAGAGATTTGAGATAACAGTTGCTGAGCGTTATTACTGTATAACTACAGCCTATTTTTACATGCTCTATACTTGGTTTCTATGAACAGACGGTAAATGTTCAGCATTTGAACGATTTAACGAGCTTTAAAACCCTTTTGTAATTTCATAAAAAAGCATAAATAACACTTACATGAAGAAGAGTCTCTCCTGAATGGATTTTCTCTTCCTGTTTGGGGAAAAAAAAAAAGAGAAAAAGAAAAGGCAAAAAAAATATTTTAAAGAAAAAAAATGGGTCTACCGAGACAAGTAAAACATGTTGCAATGCTCTCATGTACAGTGCTTTCTGCACTTCACCAGAACTCATATTCTGAAGAACATCAGGACACTGAACGCAGCACCAATGTGAAAACAGGAGATCATTTCTCACCTGTTTCACCCTACGTAAAACACCGTTTTACTTTATCCATCTCAAAACCAAGGAAATTACACTGCAGCAGCGAATTAAAATGCAAACGCAATGTGATCTGAAGCAAAAAATAGGAAGAACTTTTATCCACACTGCAGCTCACTGATAACCCCACGGCTCGACGCACGTGTTGCTCTCCTACCTACAGGCACCCTACCCACACCCTCACCCTAAGCCAGGGCGCTCCTGCTGAGTTTTGGGCACACCGTGATCATTTTTTCCAGGCCAGCGCTCAAGCACTGACTGCATTCAAAGCCAGGTCGGGCAGCGAGGGCGCTCGTCAAGGCCGTGACCATTCTGGGCGATGGAGAACCACAACAGGAAACCCAGCAACTGCTGAAACGCCCCAGTCCTCCCAACTGCCCGTGGGTCACAACAGCCACCCCTGCTGCTCCCCACCCAAAGCTCGCTGGCAGGACCTGGGTTTGATTCACCTTCCCCTTCCACCAACTCAGCTGATGGGTTTGGTGGATGCTCTTGGAGTAGGGTTTAGGGTCGGCACTGAGCAGCTTTTTGCTGGTGGAAATCTTGACACATTGCAAAAAAAACCAACCAAAAAGAGAGACTGATATAAATACAAAAGATGCTGGAGGACACCAACCACAGTTTCAGAGTCACAGGCTGGTAGCAATGGCAGTTTTTTGGGGGAAAAAAACCACTGCAGAGTGGCAGTTTCACTTAATTTCTACCACATTATCTTATATCAATATTAGCTACTCTGTAAGCAATTTAAATGGTGCTGCCCAGGGTTTACATGCCTTGGGATGATACTCAGCTAGCACAAATCAATTAAATCCGTGGCACTACAACAGCTGAGGATTCAAGTAAATATGCATGTATGGAAAAAAACTCAACACATATTAAATCATTGCATTTTCATCCTCACGCTTTTCTCCCAAATGCCAAGGACCCAATCCCACAAGCAGCTCCCCCCTCAAAGTGGCATTAGAATAAACTTGAATTCTGTGTACAGAGCACGTACGAGGGCTGGACACAAGACTGCTTCAAAAAACATAACCCTGATCCATTCTGGTCACGTAAATTAAGTTAGTGATGAGAAGTCGAAGGCACTAATCCTACTGGGTAATCTATTCAAAGCTGCACTTCTTAAATGATCTACAATTTATTAGTATGACCAATCAAATAAGCATTACTTGCAAAAGGCTTTAACTACCATGGCTTTCCCATCCATTTTTATGTGTCGTAATATGGTTACATTTAAAAGAAACAAATCAACATAATCTTTTCAGAGTCATTTCCCAGCATGATTAAACGCCTGGGTAGGGCACCACTGTGGAGACTTCCCTTACTGGTGGAATTGGCAACGTTGCCACTGGGGCACTGGCAATGGGGCAAACCTATGGGGTACGGGAAAACCTGGAAGGGGCAAAATTAAAATAATAGGGGGTTGCTGCTGAGCATTGAGGGGCACTGATGAAAATCCTGGGAGCATCAATGCTCAGGAGTCCCTTGAGACACCTGGGATTTGGCCAGAAGCCACAAAGCTCAGCCTTGGTTAGGCCAAGTATCGATTTAAGGAAAACCCACTGAAATATTCTCAATGATTAACTGTAAGACAAGATCCTTGCTGAGGCTTTATGAACAGAGCTGTGTTAGGCATGGGAGGTTTCCCCAAGCACCGTGCAGCAAGAATGAGCCAATCTAAAGTGTACTCCTATTTTAATGTTTCACCTCTTTTCACAGGGCGTTTCATCCAGATTGAAGCCCCCTGCCACAGCCTCAACGTTTCACCTTTGGCATTTGAGAAACACCCAGGCAACCCACCCAAAAGCTACAAACTAGCAGCTACCAACAGAGCGTACTATGCCAACTTTTGCTCCTGGTTACAGCAAAGTAAAACAAAATAAAAACCAGTAGCATTTGAAGCACTCAAAATTTCGACTGGATTCTAGACCAAGATCCCTACACAAAAAAACCAAAACCCCCACCCGGATTTTGATCGAGCAGCCCCCAAGCACGCAACCACCCTCTCGGTACCTCCAGATATCACAGGGCCACCTGCAACCTCCTGCTTTTTGCAAAGCGTGTCAGAAAGTAACCCTGACACCGCCCGATAAAAGAAACAGGTTAATAAATGACAGCAAGAAGCAGGGCCTTGTCTCTCTGCAGAGGTCTGGGTGCCACCTCCCCCGCGGGGCACACCGGGACCCCAGGGGAGGGAAGCGCGGCTGTCGCCCTCCAGTGGGAGAGGTGGGAAGGGGAAGGAGCAGAGGGGAGACACGAGCAAAAAGAGGGAAAAAAAAAAAATAACAATATGCAAAGCAGAGAAGAGACAGTTGAAGAGGAAACAGGAAGATGCTATCTCCGAAAGTGGCAAAAATAAAGTTTCCAGTGTCGATCTAAGCAGGGCAACAAAGACATCCTCACGCCGCGCTCGTGCTTCAGCCTCCACTCATTCCGGGTGAGGGCCACGGTCACGCTGCCGCCTGCTTCCACTTAAAAAACCAGCCAAAACCTTCAGGGGAATCTTTCCGTAATACTCCAGCAAAGGTAGGCGATGCCAAAAAGCAGTCAGCTCTCCCAAATTCAGATGCAGAGGTAAACACCCGGCTGTCAAAAACCATCAGGGTTTTCACCAGAGCCTCTCCCCTCCAAATTCCACAGCGGCAGATTTTAATGGGCTGCTATCCCCTCAAACCCAAAGCCATAAAACCTAAACCGGTAGCAACTGTCATCCGAGCACCGAATTACAGAGCCGATGACACGTCCCCCACCTCACCTTTTTTCCTGCCTTTTTTCTTAGTCCAAAACTCAAAACATTTTGACATGCAAGCAATAAAAAAATGCGGTTACCAAAATAGCACTATCAACGTAACCAGCTCCTCTCGGCACATTTTCTTAATGCCTTTCCCAATACGGTTAAAAAATTGGGAACTAACCAGAAAACCCTATCTTTACACCTTGGCACAAACCGTGCCGGAATACGTGCGGGGTTGTATTTCTTCATGTTTATCTGGATCCTCTCCCACTACTTTTTTTCATCGGTGCTTTCCTTGAAACGTAGCTTTTATTAAACGGCAGAAAACAGCTTTCACAATTTCTAAATACAAAGTTTTGCCACTCTCGGAGCTGCCGAAGGAAAGCACAGCTTGGCTTCTGTTTCATAAATAACATACTCGGCACATTTCTTTGCCTGTGTGAAATAAATTCCCTCATGTTCTTATATGGAAACCTCGCAAGTCCTCCCACACGCTGCCTGTTACAATATCAGGCAGAGATGGGCATTCATTATCTTAAAGCCAGCGGGCAAATTTTGGATCCAAGTTACCCTGAAACGAACCCAAAATGATCGCCCCTTCACCCCAAGCCCAGCTCGGTAACCTGCCCTGTGCAACCCCTGCGTTTTAGTGCCGAGCCCCAATCACAACTTTGATTTCAAGCACGCCAAGGATCAACAAAATAAAGGCAAAACGAGGGGGGGATAAAAAAAGGACGAAGCAGGCAGCGGAATAACCCACCAGGTAGGCCCACGAGCATCAGATGCAGCACTGCCTGTACCAGCCTCTTCACTTGAGGTTAGCGCACGGCA